GCTGCAGTAGAAACTAAGTGACTATTGGTAATAATAAAAAAGGCCTTAAAATTCTGATCCTATTATAGTGTTGGAACATACCCAAACTGCTACCATAATCTCTGAAATGTTACTGTTCTCTGATTTAGGTGTCTGTGTCAAGAATAAAAATGAAGTATAACTGGTAGCAGTAGACTATTTCCTAAATGTAATTTAGTATTCACTAAGCACCAGCACTTTGCAAATAGCTCTGAGGCTTTCCTTCAAAGTTCAGAGCTCTAGTTATGCATATTGTGTGAGGTACACCATGCAGCTCACCTCCAGCCTCTGTTGTGCTGAATAGATGGCTATGATAAATCATGCTGATTTGGCACTGAAGGGCATCAGCCATCAAGGATTTGACTACCATGTCTTTTTTTCCCTGAGATTATATCTCCTTGAACTGCCTGCCCTGGGCTACTAGTTTTGGAGAAAATTAAAAAGTGGAAAAAATGCTAGGGAAGGCCACTACAGAAAGTCTCTATAGGTTCAGTTCTCTGGAAACCCATTAACACCAGTCACAAGACTGGGAAAGAAAACATTGGTGGTTGTTTAAAAGTCAGGCCAAGTCATTTTACGCAAGATCTGGTAATTCATTAATCAATCTGGCTGAAAACCTTGAATGAATAACCTGCAATGGTGAAAGAGGCTGGCAGCATCACAGAACAGGAGGGAGTTACAATCTGAATCAATGTCCTGGTGATGCTTAAGGCTCCCCTCAACACTCATCATCTTCCTGATACAAACTCTTCCAAATAAATACGAAATCATTTATCTCCATGAATTTCCCTGCTGCCAAGAGCAAGACAGTCTGCATTTCATTGTGCATTTCTTTTTCTCCTCACATTCTCATTGCTTGTAATACAAGCACTTTTTGGCAGTCTACGTAGTTGTCTTTTTAGGTTTTCCAAATACATGGCACAGAAAACGGTGTTGAAAAGTAACCTGCGCTACACCTATACAGAACAATTAAAAACTAAGTAATCAAATACAGTGAACATCTCTATGGACAACAGAATTATGTAAACAAATTATGTAAATAAATGAAATCTGCAGAAGGGCAAGCAAAGTGGGTTTTCTGAAGTCTTTTTAAAGGCCAAAAAAAGGGTTTGCCAACTATAAGATTTATGATTTTACACAGCTTCATTTTACTTTAACAGGTAGTTAACAGGCTGCATTTTCCCTTAACATCAGTTATTTGCAAACAATGCCAACAAGGAGATATACCCACCATAGATATCTTCTCTCTCCATCATGCTAGGCATGGGTCATAAATAACTTTAAACGTAGCTAATCTTACATGATACGGTATAGTATATATGAAGAAGCCTTAAGGAACAACAAAAAATTTTTGTGAACAAAAAGCTTTCTCACTAGTGACACATTAAGTTGTACATTTGTTCACAATTTCACATTGCATTGGCTTTGAGAATGAAAAACTAATCATTTTGATTTTCTAAAAGTAGCCAAATCAATTTTTTTGCAAATATAATTATTTTAAGTCTAGTTCTTCACAAAAGCAAATCATAAAAGTGAATGGTGCAGTGAACCATCTAAATAGCTGGTCTTGGGTGACTTGTTAACTATTTACTTGCATGAACTTGTGTCAATAGACAGTGCCCTGAGGGGCAAGAACTCCTTCATTTTATCTTTCCAATAGTCAGAGCAACAGGCAAAGAATATTAGGTAAAAAAAAGAAGTGACCAAGCCATGAAGAGAAAGAATTCAATTAATTCATAATGTACGTAAGTACAAACATTGATAAGGGGAGCCTCTGCGCTGGGGCAGACAGTCCAGACTTGATTTGGGACTTGTATCAGTTACACTGGGGTGAGCAGAATAATGCAATCATGAATTAGGTGTGTCTGCAAAATACTGGTTTGTTTTAATGCTGGAAAGGCCAGTATCTCATCACACCTAAGAAGATGAGAGCAGGGATTTATACTCAACACTTAAAAACTATCTAGACTAATTGGACCTTTATCTCAGTTGGCTCCTGGTTGCTACCATAACTATTAATAATTTCTAGTCTGTGAGCCACTGGGAGTGTCTAAGCTTGTGGGTGCTTGGCTCAAGTGAGCTTTCAGGAACATAATTTGCAGTAAGACCAAAAATCCACTTTCTGAAATACAAGTCTTTCTTAAAAAAAGTGCACCAGAAACACTCAGGAACTTTGCACCATCCCTCGCCTAGACAATGCCACGTGTATTGCATTAATACCTCAAAGAAGAATGTGTTTCAGTCAAAGTTAGGTTTGGCAATTAACACTGTACAGCCTGTGCAAGTAACGCTGCTCTTGTACTTCCCAGTATTTCTCATTCTGGTTCCTTCCCCTCCACCCCAACAGGCTGTACTTCTATTTTTGTATCACAACAAATCATCTGGAAGCTTAAGCTAGATAAAACATACTATTCCCACAATGATAAGAGAGAAAAAAAGAAGTAAATTAGTAAAAAAAGAATTTATTTTCTTTTTAAAAAAGCCAATAAGGACCAATATGGAAAAATCTAGAGACTGCCAAATGGAAAACTGCACAAAACTTTCATTCTCTCAGCTAAAACAAATAGTTCCTCACAGACTATGTGAGACAGTCTCTGGAGGAAGAAGACATCTTCTTCTGATCTTGAGCACCCCCAGTCGTCACATTACAGAGCGGCAGAGGCAAGAAATAGTGCAAGGTATCCAGCTGCATGATGGAGAATGGGGACAGGGTTAACGTATGGGAGGACAAAATAACTGTTTCATTCCCATCTTCCAAGGCCAAGCAACCAAGAAATGTAAATGCAACACACTATGAAGCTGAAAATAGCCTAATTTTGCACTGCAGTATTGTAAAATACCATTAGGGCACAATTTGTGCCTACAGGTAAGTATGGGCCAAGCTGTGAGGTCAGAGACAGTGATGCAGCCTGCAGCAGAAGTCGGCTGGTGTGAAGAAATCCAGGCATTCGCAAAGAAAACAACAGAATTCGTGTGTTTGGAAAGAAGCAGCATATTTAATTTCCAAACTATTATTTCTGACGTATTACTTGCTGCCTAGGTGCCTTTCCCCAGCTGCATTCCCCATTTCTCTACACATCCCCTCCTGTTTCTCCACACTGGGGCACCTCGTCCTCAGACATACCCAAATGTGCCCATAAGAGGTTACCCCTAGTGAGGAGTACCTCATGTCACCAACTCCCAGTGAGGTTAACTACAAGCCTATCTGGCTGTCTTGTGTGCAACATGCTTTGATTTTCAGAACAGGAATTATTTCATATAGAAAGTGACAACTCCTATACAAGGCATGTAGGGGAATGGTCACTACCTGTCTGAGACAACTTAATACTCTCCAGCTGTGGCCATCAGAGCATCCAGACAGTAACACAGGGTAAGCAACAACTCTGTGCTCAAGTTCCACTGGTTTTATTAGAATGATTTGTGTGCTTAGAATTGGTAAATACTTACTTGTATTACCTATCTGGAACTTACACTTTGAAAGCCTGCATCTTCAACTTTTTCCTAAAGGAAAATGGCTCTGCATTTGGCTTTTGAAAAATGTGGAAAATTATGTCTCCTCCATTATAAGAAAAGCAAAACCAGTCTACACCACACTAGCTGCAAGCGTGGTCCCTGCCCCCTCTGCCTCCCTGCCATCGACCATCCAAACCTAGTCACCAGCAGGCCGTACCCTGCCTGGGGCAGTACAACTGCAATTCAAGAACAACACGCGGCTTGGAAACTTTGTAAAACAAGGTGCAGAACACTGTACAACTAAAGAAAAAAAGAGAGCCTACGCACAAGGCTTTGCAGGCCTATTTTGATTTGAATAAAATTAATTTCAAGTTACTTGGATGTAAATCACAGAAACTGAATAGAGAAGGACAGTTTCTGCTTTAAGTCCCATGCAACTTCATCTGCATCAGGGAGATCACTCTGGGTTTAGAGTTGTATACAAAAAACAAATAGGATTTTATTCAGGACATCACCCTAGGTAAGCACCTTATGATGTTGTTTCAGTTAATTTTTTCCAGCCTTTAAATTCCACGATGATAATTCAGGGCTTCCCTGAGCCAGTGGACCAGTTGTACTTCCTGGAGCTGTGGTACCTGCCGTGTGAGAGGCAGCACCCGTGGTGGCTTTTGCACAAGGTCTTCCTGCCAGCTAATCAATTTATTGTCCAATTTCCTGGTCAGTGGACGATCTATAGCCTCTCCTATTACCAAGGAGGGAAGAAGGTTAGGGTTTAGGAGGGGCACAGCTGCCCGAAACCATGAGGCGGAGAATTATGAAGGCTTTACACAACAAAAGAAAGAAGACTGGAGACGGAGATAAAGAGACAGTAACCCTCCTCTTGTACACCCTGATCCCCAAGGCAGAATTAGAAAGAAAACATTTAAATCTCTCTAGCACCCTTCGACTTTTACTTTTAGACTGCTCTCCACCAGGAGATCTACAACTTCTCTGCCAAATCCACCCTTTTCCTCCCTTATACATCAACAACGAGGACCTCTTGATTTGTGTGCAAAAGAATCTTGCACAGTAAGGTTCTGAGTGGTAAAAACCTTTACTAGAAATGTTCCAACTACTCATCAATTAGCTGCTGTGCTGCACTCTGCTTCTTGCCGAGGAATTCAAGTAGAAGACAACAAACAACTTTTGACTTTTGTTTTGCTTTGTAGCTGACAACTGTGCAACTCCTCACCGTGACACCACAGGGCAGTGTGCTCTAGGCACTCTTTAGCTGTTTTCTTTCAAAAATCCAAAGTTCCGTTTAAATCCTTTCAAGGTTTCCCCCCACACCCCTCCAGATTGCAGGCCTAGTTTTGATCATGTAGATCAAAGGAACCACTCAGAACCCTTAACACACTACCACATTTGTTGTCTCTTAATGGGGGATAAATAGTAAAACTCTTGTCCACTAGGGTAACCAAAAAAAAAAAAAATTCAGAAAAAAAACAAGCAAGGACTTTGCAATGTGTACTTGCATCACCTTGCCTTACCTCAAATATATTGGCGGGTTCATTGCTGTACTGATTGGAGATGATCTCTGACTGGTCGCTATACCACTTGAGTCCCCCCAGAAAGCTGTCTGCATCCAGGTCATTCACATCGAGTTCAGAGAGGTCAAGTTCTGGGAGATCTGGGCAAAGAGGCTGGTCTTCACCAACCAGAGCAGCACACTGCAGGATACAGCAACACAGAAATAGTTTCATTAATTACCAGGAATCTATTAACTTTAATATCATGTGATAAGAATTAAACCTCAATTTAGCTATGGCACAGGGTCACTAGGATTGACTTTTTTTTTCTGGAAAAAACCCACTGAAGTATTTGATCATCACTAATACTATACAGGTATGCAAAGAGTAGAGGGAAACAGCAGGGCATAAACTGCCTTCTCTGTCACATCTCTGTCCAGGGACAATGACTTTCCTTCTCCCTACACTATCTGACAACAATCGTGTTCAAAGCTTTAAATCCAACAGCAGAGGCCAAAGCATGTCCTTATTCTCCTGCTTCAGAGCAAACCAGTGCAGGTACAAGTTACAGATGAATACCTCTGGGCAAGGTCTGTCACGCATTTCCTGATGCATTCAGGTTAAAGAGGCACAGCCTGTTACAGCCTTCAGCCCTGGGGGCTAGCTCAAGCTGGAGATAGTCACACTTTCACTTCTACAGAACTTTACCACAATCCTTGCGGTCAGTCATGATGGTGGCCACCATATGGGCATAAAGAAGTACGGGTTAGTGATGCTGCTGTGTTCTGTTCCCAGTGCATAGATCACAGCCACCCAGTTACATATCAGAGTCCTGGCAAAAGCGTGGCTTGAAATATCCTGATATCCTCCTTTGGGTGACAGGCACAGTCAGTTCACACAGCCTTTCACCTGCTTGGTGTGAACACATCTGCTATCCCAGACAGTTCCCTAAATGTCCCGAGAGAGAGGATGTAGTGAGAGAACCAAATGGGTTTTCCTCTTATGGCATCCTCTGATTCAGTAATCCTAAAGTAGAGAGGGTCTGTGAAACATTTTGATTGAGGCAGCAAACAAAGTCCCACAATCCTCTTCAGCAGTGCAAAATGTTTTGTCTGCACAACTTAGGAAGAGAGTGGGGATAAATACAAACAAACCTGGAACCAGTATCCTTTTATATGCTAGTATGAAGCTAGATAGGGTATTGACTGACCTACTATGGAAGAAAAAATTAATAACATATATCCACTTTAACACAGCAGTCAAAATGTTAGAGTATCCTCCGAAACCATTTCCAAATTATGGAAAACACGTAATAACAGTATGGCAAATAGCTGAGTTCCATATGTCAATGCTGCTCGATTAAGCGATTCCTCCTGCACTGTACCATGTATCCTTGTAATTCACCTCCGAACACCTACATCGATACGTGTGTACGGCAAAGCACACGTAACGCTGCAAAGGCACCAGGCGCTGAATGGTTAAAAGCCATCTGAAGTCAACCGAGTCTAAGGACATCCACCCTGAGTATTTCTAGCAATGTGTTATGGATGGCCAACAGCAGGACCTTCTCGACTCCGGTCAGTTGACTGGGTGGTTTGAATGATTTCCCAACTTCTATTTGGACTGAAGTCAATGCAGAAAGTGCCACTTTCTGAAGGCAGATGTCTGTAGGGCACTAACGCAGTGTCCATGGATGTGAATTGCTCAACACCGGTTATGTCACTCTCACAAGGACCGCCTTTCACAAGAATGCAAGCGAGAGCTGCTGAAGGTGCATTTCATTGAGGTTTTTGTCCCTGCGAAGCTCGGAGCGTCTGCAGTGCGCGGGCTGGATGCAGCAGCGCAGCCGTGAGCAAAGATTTTGTCTGTTGGCACAAAGACTTGGTGCAGCTGGTGCGAGCTATAATTTACCAGACAACTTCTACATCTACCAGGACACTACGAGATAATCACGGAATAGGCCAAGGGGCAAGGAAGCTGAGAGGCTGCAAAATGAAGCTCTGAAATAGCAGTTGTTTTTCTTATTATTATTTAAGGAGTTGCAGAACTTTAAGAAGTCAAAACCCCACTTAAGTAATCTTAACTGCACACAATTTTTTTACCATTATTTTGGGCATAAGAAAAAAAAAAATTAGAGGGTTTCCTTTCTTTTCGTGCGAGACACAACCTTCTGGCAGCAACCTTATAATACAGAGATGACCTTTTTTGATGCTTGGCCGAAATCTCTGATCTCATTAAAGGATAATCTAGTTTTTGACTGAAAAGGTAGATTCTCAGCATCATTCTCAGGTTTGTGTTGTGGAGGTCAGTAGCTTATAACTGATGCCACAGACTTCTAAAGTATCCTGCTGATCTCTTACTGCTTTCATTTATAAAAATAGCTTCACTCTGTGAACCACCTACTTAAACATGTTTACTTTTGGTAATCTGCATTTTTAAGTTCCTACAGTGGGCTTTTGAAGCAATATAAACAATGGTATTAACAAAAAAAATTTCTGCTTATCACAGTTTTCATTTACCTGTAGTGACTGCAATGTCACCTAAGACATGTAACTGCTGAAATTAAGTATATATGCCTTGCCAATGTTGACATGATAATAAAATCAATGTTTCTGAATATGACATTATGCTTCTAATCTGAGACACATTAGTAGCAAGTGTTCCTGTTATTAATTTATATTTGGCCTTTGGATGATGCCAGATTTAACACTCCAAGTCCTAAAACTGTCCTCATCTGACACGCTGATATTTACTGTTTGCCTATACATCTGTAACAGGTGCACCTGCATTGCTAGCACACATTTTACTGTCTTCCCACAGTTATTTGATATGATAGTTATTCCATAACTATAGCATTAATTTTACAGTAACATTTAGGACGATAAAGCAGTCACTAAACACAAAAGGCTAATTACTGTGCGTTATTTCACTCCAACAGACCTTTTTTCTCTTAGTTCAGGTGCAAACAATAAATTAGCTCAACTGCACTGATGGTAATGAATCATTATAATTAAGTATAATTCTCCATTAACCTTTTGGATGTTTTTGTGCCTTTGAAGGTAAATTTAAAAAAAAAAAAAAAGAAAAAAAAGAAAAAGGAAGACTGGACTTGTGCCATATTAATTATATTAATGAAAATATAATCTGCATTTTATTTTTAACAAGTTTTTCAAAGTGCCAAGGGGATGAACTCAGGAAAGAAAGAGAGCCTTGACAAAATGTGTGTCATGTGGATTCTCTCTATCAATCTTTGCAACCTTACTGTACATCACCTTCATTAAGCTGTGAAGCACTGGGGACGCTGATCAGCTACAGTGATGCAGGCCTTTATTAAGCAACACACCGTCCTGTCATTATGAGAGCGAGAATATAATACATTTTACATTGACAGCAAACATTAATGATTCAAAAAATGAAAGCTGTCTCCAGTACCTGCACCTGCATTATTTTAGCTCAGTAAAGGTGATCCCCTGAGCCAGAAGATCCCCAGCACGCAGACACTAGTACTGCTACAGGAAGTGCAATGCAGGAGCACACTGGCAAAATCCTACCCACAGTTAATCCATCCACCACACAATTAATATTAAGATCAAACCCTTTTTTTCTTTTTGTTTTCTCTGCACTATGAAAAAGTCATTGACATAAATTATCTGTTACTAGCTTGAAATTACTGCTGGAACTCTAGTGATTAAAATAAATCTTCAGTATTTCCATATAAGCTGGTTCCTCAATCAGCTCCTAGCAGCATTAGGAATAATACATGATGGAAAAATGAAGCTACGGCAGCTGAGACCCATGCTACAAGCCAAACAACAACCCACAGGATACTCCAGCTACTCAGAAACAATTAGGACTTTGGAGCCAGAAAGTCATCCACTTACAGCCTTGACTCATAATAGCTACAGGACATATGAATTATCCATATCTATTCCACTTTACCAAGAAATCAAAACAAGATAAGACCAATTACAATATGCAAACAGAAATCAGCGGATACAATGGCAAGCTGCAAATATTTAAAACATGACAAAATGACTCGAGAATCCACACACATGCTCTGCCAGATAGGAAAAACATACTGGAGAACATGGGAACGTTTTTACTTTAGATGGGTAGCTCTCTACAGCATGAACATCTTATTTAAAAAGCATCGCCTGTAACCTGTTTTTCCCTTCCCCATTGCCCGAGGGGACCATTTTAAGCACTTATTCCAAGCCAGAAGCCAGAGGATTAGTTCCTTTGAGCAGGTCTGTATTTGGGATTCCTCTCCATGGGGTCCAAAGAAAGTTTGACTTGCTTCACAAGTTGCCTGAACTTTCAGGTAACGCTCCATTTTGCTGAATGCAAACATGCAGAAATCCTCAAACCTCACATTATACTCCAGAGATTACCACAGGGCTGCTTGCCCTTTTTTTTTTTTTTATTTTTTTTATTTTTTCCTTTATGAATTGTAGCCAGCAGAAGCTGTGGATTTGATGTATTGCCGTCTATTTTTACACAAGCAGCAGCGGCGGCAGCAGCAGCAGCAGTTCACACAGTCCTGCATAAACTCTATTCTCATGGTTCATCCTGTTGTCTCTGCTGTACAGTGGGATTTAACCATTTGTTGGACTATTCGGATTGACTGCGAACCCTGCTCTACGGGGCATTAGCTACAGCGTCAGTATTCCAATACCACAAGAAGCAGGGAAACGTCTCCTTCCAGAAATCTCTTTTAAAAAGCATCTAAAGCCAAACAACAGAGTATTCATTCCTGTGTGCATGTTTGTATTCTGCCGCTGATAAACAAGGAAAAAACCTTCGACAGAGCACAGTGAAAGAAGCAATTAAAATTTAAAGCCAATGATTAATTTTAACTAGTTGTGTTTTTTTTTTTTAAACAGAAATGTTAGTCCTATTCTAAATAAACATGGCATTTTTCCAACCAGGCCACTAAACGCCACTGGAAATGCCACTTCAGACACCGATTCATATCAATATCTTAGAGCATAAATATTGCATATGACGGGAAAGCGAGCCAGAGGCACATGAAAATAGTTTCCAACTGCAGGAGATACTATACTGATGACAGGAGCTCAGCTTTGATTTGCTCAAGGCATCGCAGAGTAACCTTAAAATAGCAAACTTACTGGAGTTAAGATAAGATACGGACTTGTTTGCAAAGTATGTTGCCTCGGCCGTCCTGCCAGCCCCCTGACCAG